ACGATAGCAAGGTTCGAGTCCTCCACCGTTTTTTTTGCTAAACCAGAGACTTGCACATACACTAACTCGTTTCGCATACACGATGCTGCTACTCTTATAATAACAGACATAAAACATGGGGCCGAAAAGGCTCACAACTTAGCTAAGAGACCGCTAATTTGTGATTCCCTTTTCAAACTTAATGATTTAGATACTTTGCATCTTTCCTTTGTTAAACGTTAATTTTTTCTTTCTTCTGGAAGTTCGAGAGAGCTACATTCTTCTAGGGTGTGGCCTATCAAACAAAACACGTTGCCACTGGTATTGCTGCTATGTTGCTCAACCAAGCTGTTGAGGATGAGTGGAGAAAGAAGGTACGAGAGAAGGTTTATCATCAATGTCTTTGTTCTGGTTTTAGTGCGATTTGAGCATTTGCATTTTGAAGATTGAAGTTTGGAATTAACTTCTGGTGAATTAATGTGTAAGACTTTTTGCTAGTAATGGAATATTCGCTTGAAATTGTTACTTAAGCTGCCACCACTTACAGGGCGATAAGTTAAGTCGTGCTGATGCAGAATCCGTTCTTCGTAAAGCTCTTGAACTTACTGTCTATCATGACTGTTGTGCGGATAATGACTTCGAATTGGGAGTTGTGGACGCTGATGAAGGAGTCATTCAAGGCAGAGAGGTGAATATGCGCATCTATTAGCTTATTTAAGTCTGCGAAAGATAGAGTTCGTTTAAGGAGACCATCATTGGAGACTGGAGCATTGCGGAAACCAACTGTCAGTACGAGTAAAAGTGGAACGTGTTTATGAAGTTTCTTTTATAATTGTTGTAATTTATCTATTAAGCTACTTCAAGTTTTTTTTTTCACTGAATAAATGCGGATACATAAATAATTAAAGCATTGAATGAACACGTTTCGTTTACAAGTAACGCTCTTTCAATATTTTCAGGCATTGCGCACTTTTTGGATTATTGTATGCATAAAGCATTAGAAAACAAAAAGCTTCGCTTCCATTTTGCATTCTTCTTTTATAGGATGATGCTAAATCCCTGCTTTTGTCGCTTGAATATGTTAGCTGCTCTCCCTTTTTCTACCATACTCTTATTCTCTACCATATTCTTATTTCATGTGAAAGGTGTACGGAAATGCTTGTTTTCTGAAGCTTAATAGTAAACGCACATTTCGGATCAGTACGATGATTTCATTGTTGCAAAAGACACAAGATATTGCACTATTGCTATAAGCAACTTCTAAAGTCTGTTCTTATTTGCTGTGTAAAGTACGGGCAGTTGTTGATGCTCCAAAGTAATGATTGTTGGTTGGCGAGAAGCCTGTCTAATATGGTGGAGGAGGCAAAGGTATTCTGTAGCTCTTCTCATTCAACTTCCACAGGATTGTATATAGATTGTGTTTAGTCATGCAAGCGACCACAAAATGAAAATAGGATTTAGCCCGTCAAATTCTGCCTCAAACTTGCTGAGCTTTTTACAATCCCAATATCTATGCTGGTAGTTGTAGATAGCTGAATATTGCAGCTTCTGCGACAGGCTAGCTGTTGTGGTTTTTGAGTTGCCACCGTGCATAACGTTTATAAGCAGCTGAAGATCTTATATAAGAATATTGCACCTTTTTTCCGCTTTTATCTTGCCTATTTTGGTTTGGATCAAAGTGCGTGCTCGAATTTGCTTTTTATAGTGTGTAGTCTCTTATTCTGGGAAAATTGCAAAATGTGAATTATCCACAGCATGCATTTTTCGAAAGTGTGTGCTAGCCTCTCTAGCGCTACTGTGGTTTCCAGAGCAAAGATTTCGCTGTCAAAGAACGTTAAACGTGACCATAAATTTACAGTACTTTCGGGATAACTTGACATTTGTTTTCGCACCTATGATCCAAATTCTTTTTTTTTCAACGAGTTGAATGTTAGATAAAAAGTATGCTTATCCAGCCTCTGTCTCAATCAGTGGAGGTGTTTGATGTTAATAAATCTCCAGAAAATTGTACCCTTTGTGGGAGGAGATGGTGTGGAAGGGGCACTTTTGCTAGTAGAAGGTAAGGGACTCCCAACAGGCAAGCTTTCTTTTGAATCGTG